GTTGAATAAAATCATCAATTATGTTATTCCCAGATGTCCAAGTGGTGAAAAGACTCTGTAATTGTAAACTAATACAATCTTCACAGAATCTATCAGAGTATCTTACTGATTTACACTTGTTACATTCTTTTGGCTTGCCCCTTTTATTTATTGCATTATCTAATTCAAACTCATAAATAAACCTTTCCTTACAATATTCTTTTTCATCTTCAGAAAGCTCCTTGTTTTTTTTTGACCAAAGAAAAAAAATAATATTTTATACTTTCTCTATCAGAATTAACTGCTGCATTATTAAACATTTCATTATGAATTTTATATATAAAGTCTTGTCTTTCTGATGATAATGAATATAATCGTTTAACATGTGACATTATATAAAAATATAAAATATAAATTTGACTTGGTGTTTTAATGAATAGAGTGGAATATGAGAATAACTTTCCTTAAACATAAAAGAAAGTAAGGTTGTCGTGTTACGGTTCCTTTCTAAATGTCGTATATTTTTATATTTTGTTGAAATGTTTGGTTGCATCTGTTGTAAATGTTAACTAGGGTAAATTTAGAGATCATCAGCAAAATTTTTGATTTGATTGGTTAATTTCCAATATGTAATAATCCAATTACAATTGAAACTGTACATGCATTTTTATTGCAAGCAAGAAACCCTATAAAAAAAAAATTTGAATTTTAATTCCACAAATTTGCAATAGTGACAAAGCCCATTTTTCCTCTGCAATCTTTCTATGATTTTTCCATAAATACAATACATTTCTGGAGAATACATGAAATTTCAAATCATGGATCAGTTTTTTTTATGCTAGCAAACCAATAAAATTGGTTAAAATGGATACTTATTTTAGTATTACTGTATTTAAAATATTGTGTATCCCGTGCAACCAATTGGTTTGTGGAGTTGAATAATTCAATTATTGAACGTTAGTAACTGACTACTGTCTGGTTCTCCTCCAAACATTGATGAGCGAAATGTATTTTGGTTACATGTTTGACAAATATTACTATTGTCTTGTTTAGTGAACTTCCAGCAAGAACATTTATTTCCATTATTAAAAGCGAAATGACAAGACATCTTTAAAAAAAATGTGAAGGGACTCATTTTTTTTATCATTATATATATAACAAATTAAAATGTGTACCACAAATTAAAACGATGTATCATGCATCATAAATTAAAACAATCATAAGTAAAAATGATACATCATAAATTAAAATGATGCATCATAAATCAAAACGACTTTTGAATTGTTTGTTTTGCCATATTATTTTTCTATTTGTGTATCGATACAAATTTATTGATTTTCCTCTAAACAATAAACAATTATTAAGCTTATAAAGGGGAAGATCATTAGAAAGCTATGATACAATTGGTTGGCACGTACTGGAGTTTCTATTTATATTAATATTAATGTGTGACAGTTCTTTCTGGCAATTGTAAATATATAGTGAAGATTAAAATTACAAAAATTTCAAGGTTGATCTTATATGCACAATTTTGTCAATAAACCAATTATCCCATTTGATATGATGCAGTTTAATTATTCCGTAGATAAAATACGATCCCAGAAAAAAAACTTTTTTAAATAAATAAATAGCGAATATTTCTTTTTAATATTTTAAATTTAATCCAATAATTATAATAATAATTATTATTATTTTATAAAATCATCGTAACAACAACAATAGCAACAATAATAAAAAATGGCTATAATTGAAAGCACAACCGTGTATTTGGTTGTCGCGACATTCCTTATCGGCTATTATACTTATAAATGGATAATTTATCCATTATATTTATCTCCTTTATCTAAAATTCCTGGTCCTCGTCCTGACCATTTTCTGTTGGGAAGTTTCTTGGAAATTATTAAACCTACGGTGAGATCACGATATATATATATATATAATTATGTTTATAAAAAATTTGACCTCCTTTTTTACATTTAATTTAATAAGGGTGGGGTTCATTGGGCAGAAAAATATGGCAATGTATATAGGTGTTATGGATTATTCAATGAACCAAGGGTTTATATTCTTGATGAAAAAAATATTCAAAAAGTACTTGTTAATGGTGCATATACTAAATTTGGTAGAAGAAAGAAATTTGTAGAATATTTAAAGAAGATTGTTGGAGATGGTATTTTGTTGGTAGATGGTGATGTACACAAGAAACAACGTAGATTAATGAGTCCATTGTTCGGTAATCATAGTATTAGGGTAAATAAAAAATTTTTACATTAACAGCAGGTTTGTCTGTGGGACTAGTTACATTAATATTAATGTTGATATTATTTATTTAGGATATGATTCCAGCATTTACAAGGGTTTCTAATACATTGAAAGATCTATGGAAAGATGAAATAAAGAATAGTCAAAATGTTAATAATGACATTGATAAAAAATGTGCAATAATTGATGTTGGTCATTATATGGGAAGAGCATCTTTGGATGTTATTGGCATAGTTGGTAAGTAATTCTATAAATAGGATTGAACAGACAATAAAATAATGCAATTAAAATCAATAGTCAGTGTGTTTAATCAAATCAATATTCACACAATTAATAATAATTTGTTATTTAGGGTTTGATTCTGAAATAAATTCTTTGATAAAATCATCAAGTCTTGCTGACTCACTAAGCACTCTTTTTGATCACAAATATGGGTCTGCATTTAATTTATTATCACTTTCTTTACCCATATTGAGATCGCTGCCATTAAAAATAAATCATGATACCCAAAATGCTTCAATTGAAATTGAAAAAATTACAAGGAAATTGGTTCAAGATAAATTTGATAAATTGAAAAAAGGTAAATTGGATAGCAATGATTTGATAAGTGTTTTGGTGAAAGCTAGTTATGGACAGGAAATAGAT